ATTCTTATCAGATTCTTATAAGACTCTTATCAAACTCCATTCACTTTCCTGCGTAATCTTATATAAGAATTTGATAAGAATCAGGTAAGATTCTTATCAGAATTGCAGAAAATTTTTTGTCTAGGGATACTGATTCGTACTCACAGTTTGATTATCTTCGATTTCTAAAATTTATTCAAGACTATTTATTGATACATGGAGAGTTTTTGTTGATGAAGAAACAAAATATCAGTTCATAAGGTAAAAACTACAGATCCAATAAAATCGCATCGAAACTTATTATAGAAAAAATGCTCTGACTAATTAAATCAAATTGCCTGTAAAGTCAGTTTAGAGACATGCAAAAAAAGCTTCTCATTTCAAGTACAATTTTGTCAAAATATAAAATAGTAATTAACAATACTCAAACCTTGGTATCTCATGTATATCTAGAAAAGAGTAATACTTCAAACGAGTAGAACTTTACGTTATCCTAAAAAATAACTAAATTGGTAATCTACAAGAATTAGATCGTGAAAATATTTACTGGTCGAAATAATTCTGCTGGCTGGTAGTTTATCGGGTTGTTCTTGCCTGGGTAGAGCGCTACGCTCGTTGTATGCGCACGTCACTCTCTGTACGCGACGTAGGCGTGACGTATGTATCGTTTGGTACGCTTGACGTGGCGTGGATTGGACGCTTGATTGGCGCGTACAACGAGCGTACGGCCCGACCTGGGATGTGAAGATCCAAATGAATCTTTTAATTTTTGAAAATGATTAAATGATTAAAAGTATTTTTTATTTGTCCGTGAATGTGCAGTGCTGTATTTGTATCAGTGTTTCCGCTATCCCTCCTGTTCAACATTCTTAATTTACACGCCAATAATGATTTTCTACTTGTTCGTTGTTGTTGTTGTTGTGATTTTTGTTCATCAGTCAATGATACCGATGATGTTTTAACGTCTAACTTTTTTCGTTCGCTATATTCGTGTTTTAAATAAGTTTTGTCCCGTTCACTTTTGAAATACGATTCAACAATTCCTTTTGATAAACTATGTTTTAATTTTCTTGTTTAATTTTTCTTGTTTTAGTTCATTATTCAAATATTCTAAATAAACTTTTCTTAATAATGGCATAGTCAATTGCTGTTTCGTTTTACCACGATTTTTTTAACGATCAGAATGGACAGTTTTCATGTACAATAAAGTCAAATCATCTATGGCATGAAAATATAATTACACAACAATGTCGCTCTTAACTTATTCAGCAAACCTCTTGAATTGTCTTGAAGCCTCAGCGGTCGCCGTACTTTCGTAGCTTTTTCGCTTTCAGCTTTCGTTTGATGATGTTGTGATAATAATTTAAGATACTAATCTGCTCGATCTTTAGCATATTCAATATATGCTCTTCAATAAAATAAAGCTTGTCAGCGCAGCTCCGTTGGAACAAAAATGTAAAAACCTCCGCACAATGGAGCTGATTACACAAAAGACGTGTTTGTTAAAAACAGCACAACAGGCGCCGTAAAACAGGATAAGTCAGGTTTCAAATGTTAAGGTAGCGCCTGAATAGGGTAAAACACGGGATATTTCATCAAGAAACGGAGCGGGCCCATTTTTCCACTGCTTTTGGGCCACTGCTTTTCCCACTTACCGTTAGTTATGATCACATTTTGTAGAGAAAACGATTTTACATATTTTGAAGTGCATATGTACCATTATAACCTTATGGAGACTTTTTAAATTAACTTTTCTGAGGAGGCACATAAAGCATATCGATGCTTAACAAAAACGATTTTGTTCAAAATCTAATATAAAGTTATGGTAAAGCTTGATATAAAAAAATAGCTCTTGAAAAACTTTACACTATTCTGATTAAACAAACCCTACATACCATTGGCTCAATCCTTTATAGGTCAAAGTCAAATACAAGCCCAAGGACACCTAAAAGTCAGCACAATTGATGTTTTAGCTATTTTACTCCTCTAGATAAGAGAGGATGTAAATAGCTCTTGAAAAGTTCTACAATGTCTATTAATAGGAAGCTTAACGAAGTTTGGCCGCGGTTTTTGTGTATTAAATACTTCGCCACTTAATCCCACAGTGGGCCCAAAAATTGTTCATCACCTTTAGTTTTCATTTTTCTCGTCGACCATAATAACTAGAATAAATCTGAACAGCTGAAAGCATTTTCGATCTCAGATGGTGTATACAAAGATTTTATCAAAACTCCTGAAATCACGGTCTTTGGAATTTCAAAATTTCAATTTTTGGACCCACTGTGGAATTAAGTGGCGAAGTATTTAATACACAAAAACCGCTACCAAGCTTCGTTAAGCTTCCTATTAACAGACATTGTAGAGTTTTTCAAGAGCTACTTTTCTATATCAAGCTTTACCCTAATTTTATATTAGACTTTGAACAAAATCGTTTTTGTTAAGCATCGATATACATCGATATATAGCATAGCTATTGCCACCACCAGGAAGTGTCAAGTTGAGCTATTGCCACCACCAGGAGATGTCAATTAGGAGCTATTGCCACCGCCGGTAGTGTCAACTACAGCTATAGCCACCACCAAGCAAAATCAAAGAATAGCCGTAGTTGACACCACCAAGCAAAATCATAGTTGACACCACCTACTCTTTGATTTTACTTGGTGGTGTCACTAGCTGTAGTTGACATCACCGGTGGTGGCAATAGCTCAACTTGACACCACCTGGTGGTGGCAATAGCCATTCCGAAATATTAAACGACTAATATTAAAAATCAATTAAATATTTTTCTATCTGACCTAATAAATATTTTTCTTGTTGTAAGATAGAAAAATACTTAATTATTTTTCAGAAAAAGCAAATATTAAAGCTGGCGACGACGCTAATATTAGAACAGTTTTTGGTCGGACAGAAAAATATTTAATTATTTTAAAATAAGGGAAAAATCATTGGTTAAGAGGTGAAAAAATCCGATTGATTTACTTCTTAACTTTTAAAAATTGATTACAAAACATCAGTGTAATCGTTTTTGCTCATGAGTGGTTAAAAGAATCGAAAGATAAGGAGCAACAACTAGAGAATATGTATTTAATATGATATACAAGAGAAATTTTGTTGAAACATACACACGCACACTCATGCAATTTACCATACACATATGAAAAATCAAAACACGCATATGAAAAATACACATATGAAAAATCAAAAATCAAAACCAAAACTAAACATCTAAATCTGCATCTATAAATAAAATCAGTAATGGAAATAATATTTGTACAATTGAAAACACATCCTTACCCGATCATTTTGATGCCGGACTACGATTTTTCAAAATAGATCCTCGGCCGGAATGACTACTTGACGTTGAAAAGAAAATTTTTTTATTGGAGGAGGCTACCAGAGCCAGCGAAATTCTTTAATGTATGACTACGTTCTTCAATCAAAACTGTAAATTGCTATGCGCAAAAACTGACATAACTTTTTCTTTTGTTTTTTTGACATACTTTTTCTGCCTGCTGAGTAACTGCCCTGGTGAAACTCATCTTACAAGATCATACAAGATCTGCCGTTTTCTTATGAAATCTTGTAACAAGATCTTACTGCATGATCTTATAAGATCTTGTCTTAGGATATTGTAAGATCCTGCGGAATCTTGTAACTTCTTGTCATAAGATCTTACATGATCAGCTCATAAGACGTGACAAGATCTTACAAGAGCTTGTAACAAGAAAGCATATGATCTTGCAAGATCTTGTCATTGAGAGACGTGACTTATATTTATTTCTTATCGCAAGATCATACGATTTCTTGTTATAAGATCTTATATGATCTTGCTAGAATCGATGACTCATTCTTACCGCATAAATTTTGCTATGATATTGAGTATATATATATATAACATAGTTCTTATGATAAAACTTAGAATTTTATTCTCTCTTCGTCTTCACACATCATCTGAGCGCAAATAAAGTGCATGGCTATAAGGAACGTGGTTAAACACGATCCTAAGGACACATGTGTCCTATCTATGGCAGAAAATATTATAAATAGAGAAAGATACTTTTTTTAAGAGGGTCTATCTAAATTTACAGAACACGATCAGGCACATAATCTTATAAGATCTGATGAATTCTTACGTGATCTTATGAGATCTTGTCGCTTCTTGAAAGATCATATGATATCTTATACGATTTTATGAAATCTTACAGCTTCATATGTTATGATCGTACAAGATCTTATAAGAAGTCAAAAGATCTTACAAGATCCTTTGAAATCTTATGGTTTCTTGGAATAAGATCTTATAAGACCATAGGAAATCTTAATATACGATTGTTCGCCCTGGGTTAAATTAAATATAGTTAAATAGTTAAATTAAACAGAAAAATAAAAAACAACCGGAAAAGGCTGTTGTACCTTTTGGGTAAGTGAACTTTTTATGAACGACACATTATATATCTGTGTTACCTTGGCACCAGAGTTGCCACCTGGACAAGTCAAAAATCCGGAATCATAATCCTAAAATCTGGAAAAATCCAGAATTTTTTTCAAAATTCGAAAAAAAAACAGAAACCCATTTTATTGCCTTATTTAACCTTTTTCTACCGCATAGATTGTCAAAAAACGTTTCTTCTCGAGTGGGTCTATATGATTTTACTCGATAAATATAAAAAATAACAAACAAATAGAAATTTCGATTTTAATCGACATGCTGTTTTTTGAATGTATATTTTTGATCCGAAAAGTAACTGGCACTTTAGCTGGCCTATAATATAAGAAAGGCAACCTTCACAAACTATAGATAAAAAGCTTGCCAGCGTTGCTTCTACGAAGCAAAAATATGAAAATTTCCTATTGAACTGTTGGACTATGACATAGAACAAATGACCTACATACGGGCGTTTGACTAGATGCTGATGAGGAATTACTGGATTTGTCGTTTTCAACTGACATTCATTGGATAATATCCGAATATGGATCATCTGAACAACTATTGCTTTCTTTTCTTGCATTATCGTCGTCCAATTTTGTTAAATATTTCTCTAATACAATACGATTATCATTGATTTGTAGTGATTGCGTTGTTGAATCCGAATTAGTTGGTGTTGTTGTCAATTGCATACATTCAAATACAAATTGTTTTAAATCGTGATTCATATCTGACAAATAAAAATTCTACCATTAGTTATGCTAACGACACTAACAGTGACATAGTTACCGGTAACTATTAATTCTTTATCCGTACAGATATGTAATAATTCATTTAATCTCGTTTCTCTTTGTTGAGCTTGACCAGGTGTCATTTGGGTTAATATTGATAAATTGGCTAATTGTATAAATGATAGAAGGTGCAAATGCTTCTTCTCTGCTATGGTTCAATTTTCATTAGATCAAACGTTTCTAAACGATTCAATGTGATTAAACGTTATTTAATATTATCACACCAATAAAACATATTTGGGGTACAGTTCGTTGACTTCATAAATGAAGATTTAGACACGATGTTTTCTATTTTCTATATATAAAGAATGAGTTACATTAGTAGTTACAATGTGACAATGTGTGCATTTCAACTTTTTGTTGTTTTTGGTGCATTGATAATGAAAGAAGTTTTTCACGTAGATATTGTGCAAATATCATCACATGTAGCTTGTTGTATTAGTTGTACTGATTGAGCATCAACCTACAAATTAAATTAATAACACTAACTAATCAATTTATCCAACTAATCTTCTTCTTTTTTTTAATATTACCTGTTCTAGGATACTGTGAAGAATAAGTGATATACTAATCGATTCGGATGGTATCAACGATGTTCTATAAAGCACATACTGATTTACACCGTTTTTCACCATCTTAAACAGAGCAAAAAGAATAGATAGAAGAAAAGACGATATAAACAGCAAGAAGTTAAAAAACTTTTTGATTAAAAGCAATCTAATTACAAAGAAAGGATGTTTTAACAAATAGCTTATTCGACACCTTCATCTAAGAAACATAAATCAAGCACTCGATTCAGATTGACAAAAGACATGTGCTTACTCATCAATATATTTAGTTTCATCAATATCACTCATTCTTCCAATGTGTATCTCTTGCCATAGTTGTTGACTAACCAAATTTCACACTGCAGTAAAGTATTTTCGATATTCTTTTGTTTTTTCCCCTTGCAGTGTTCAACATATGTTCACATGAACAAAAAGAAAACGAGCCAAAAATGAGTGAAAAGTGAAAAGTGAAAAGTGAAAAGTGAAAAGTGAAAAGTGAAAAGTGGAAAGGAAAAGTCAGAATAAAGAAAAAGAAGTGGATGTATATATAGTCGTGTATTTTTATTGTAAACTATAGCTAATGATTCGTAATCGAAAGCTTCGAATTTTTTTAAAATAAAAAATCAATGATTGTTGTTTGCATACGATTGTTATTATGTTTATTGAATTATTTTACAATGAACAATATCAATATTCGTTATAATTCAAAATATGCGTCTATGTATAGGCACGTACAACTTTTGGTATCGTCCGATCTTTGACTTCGTTTTTGAAATATAATAATTTACATTTAATTAATTTTGCCCTTTAATTGATTATGATGATGTAAGAGAAGCGATACTAGCTATTGGATTTTTCGTATTTTTTCTATTGTTGTCTAGTGATTTAATCTGAAATCTACATCAAATGGGTCTATCCATCTAGCAGTATATTTTGCAGAAAAACTTACGGTGTCGAGATGCTCTTGTGAAATGATGTTAAAACGACATCGAAAACGTTGTGTAACAGATTTTTTCAATTAAATCAACATATATTTGATTGGCTGCTCTATCAGGCGTTAAAAAACAAACAAATGTACGCCAACCACCCTAAAAAGATAGATGATGATATAAATAAAAATTTTGTTTCAATGATTACATATCTAATTGAATTGGACTGTGCATATTGTCGATTTCCATCGCACAGCTCCAACTGGTCTGACATTCTGAACATCTTTACCTCTAGGACTTTTAGGTTTCGGTGGCATAGATCGAAAATCTACAAAAACAAATTTGTCATCTGACAGAAATATTGAACATGATGGAAATTCAGTGGACTCTATAGTAGTTTGTAACTTGCCGTGGTAAAAATTGCAAACAAATACGTATCATTGATTCAGAGGAAAAGGCATACTTTCAGTTTTATGTAGAATCAATTGTAATATATTAAAATTTGAGACCAAAATGTTTTGGATCTCCTAATTGAATCGAATTGCTTAATTTTTAGCGTTCATTCCTTTCTTTCTTTGATATATGTTCAGATATTTTTACAGAAAGTGTGGGACTTTACAACGGTTTGTTTCGAGCGAGGATGAATATCTGTGTGAATAACGGCTAAGTATCAGAGCACGATAAATCATTTTCACGAACAGCATAACGTGTACCATGTAATCATTACATAGTTTTGTTTATACTCCGAATAACTGGAAGTTTTCTCTAGTGATACATTATAATTCAAAGATAAGCATTACGGTCATTGAACGTACGTAATGTTGCGATTGTATGAAACGTGTTATAGGTTTACGAAGAAAAATACATGTAATGTCTCTAAATAAAACTGATTTGTTAATTGTTTACAGCAATAGAACATTTAGAATCCTCATAAAAGGTCAATTGTCGACTATTCGTCAAGATCCCTAGCTTCTGATAATCTGATAGCCAGAATCATTTCATTGTGAAAAATACAACTAAGCTGGAGAATAGACTGTTAGTCTAACAAATCAATGCCATTCATGTTCGATACATCTATGTTTTTTCTCAACGTAAGCCCTAAAAAGTTTCAATCAGCCACAAAATTGCGTACTTTCATTGACATAGAAAAATCCCGTTACTTTAATAATTAGTTATTTGGTATCTTGAATCTGATGTTAAACAACAATGAGTTAGATTTTATTTCAATATTCTCCAGCTGACCTCCTCCTTCATCCAAATCACTTCGCTCAGTTTCCACGTTAGATATTAGTATGAAAAGATATATTTTTAAGAATTATCGCCCAAAATCATACTTTACAGCTAAGCATATATGAGTCTTGATGTAAGTCTCATCAAAATGTGAGCTTTCACAATAACTTCTGTAAGATGATATATTTAATAATTTAAACTATTTCTGTCGTCTTATGTAGTATGTACAATTAATTATTCAGAAATTTAGATAGAATACTGCGATCATCAAGAGGAGGAAATCGCATGAAATTTACAAGACTAATATTGCTGTAAATGATTACTGTCTTACAATCATTTAGGGTTGATGCAGCAAGCAAAAGATATTTTTCCTTAGGTTACTATATTAAATACTCGAAATATTTTTCTATCAGGTCATTGCGTCATATTATTAATAAACAGTAGTTGGCGTTCTTCTGTCAAAAGGCGAGTGTATAATGATAATAATAATAATAATGAGAATGCAAATTTTTTAGCTCATATTCTCTCCCTCCTCCTCTCTTTCTTCCTTTATTTTTCACGGTTCACCAATCGCTAAACATAATGAATAGATGAATGCATGCAAGTTGCTGTCCCAATTGGGAGAGCATAAAAACAATGTACAACAACTAATTTGACCAGTTTTTTGAGAGAATAAGAAGAAATAAAATTAAATAAATTGATGTTTGCACACCTTAATAATTCTGCGTATGTACATTAATATCAATAATGTTTATTCTAATTTTCTTTTCCACGTGTGTAATAAGAAGATTTAATTATTCTTACATTGAAGAAACAACACAATAAGATAATAGTTTCCACTATTACATCATAGATACTAAGTATTCTAAATTAGTAAATAACAATGGAAAATATCATTGAACTTGGTTCATTTCCAGCATTATTCCCTAATGACATTTCTAATGATCATTATGTAAAACAATTAGACACAAATTTAATTGCACATAGTCCTTATTATGGTTGTACAGCACATGTCATTTCGAAAGCAAAGTTAACATACGAGGGGATACTGGATGCAATCAGTACCGACAAAGATATTATTGTTCTCAAAAATGTCAAAGTAAATGGGTTAAATCGAACATCGTTTAAGAAAAACAAAAATACTGAGGAAAATCATGTGCTAAAGAATAATGACCAAAATAAATGTAACTATTAATTAGATGACATGTAACAACCATCGGATATGAACTAATATTTTACTCTTTTTTTTTATTCAAGCAGACGATGATATTGACAGTGAACAGTTGAAAGCGGCCATGCTCGATCATTTAACCAATGATTTTCGTATTTATGATCAAGTATGTCTTAACGTACGTGACATTCAAGAATTAAAACTCATTCAAATGCCAGATTTTCATCAGACAAAACAAAAACTACGCTCCATTGATCCATGCTTAATTGATATTAAACTGTCTTCCGAAGATCAATCGGACTATTTGAGAAATAACGATTCTATCAACTATAATACAGTAGCACGGCTATCACCATCTCAACAAACGACGTCATCATGGACAAACTCTCATAATTTTGATGATTCACAATCGATAAATAATCAACTTCTCGCATTGCTTACTAATGATTCGTCCGATACAGAACAAACTGTCGGTGTTGCAGATGAAAGGAATGACGATTCCATTGATGAACAATTGGAAAAATTCAATAAACTAAAAGAAACTAATTTAAATCTAGTATCTCCAACTGCTCGAACAGACAGCTCAATCACATTGATTGCGAAAAAAGTTCTTTCAAAAAAGATAGAGAAACGACCGGAGCCCGTTCATTCATCATCAGATACAAACACATTCACCGGTCGAATGTTGCCATTAAAGTATCTTTTTCCAGATAGTAAAGAGTCTGTGTATGGCAATCTCAAAACAGTGTCTAAATCTGTCAACAATACAATTAAAAAGACGCCAATAACAGAACGTCGAAAATCATCACCTATTCGAGTAACAATTACAAGCACACTGAATCCAAATGCGCCACCGTTTATAGCGACTAAAAATCCAAATCGTACGCGAAAATCAACTATAAATGGAATTTCATCACAAAATCCAAATTACCCATCGTTCACATTCTATGAAAAGCGTCGATTTAGACCACGTTTTCAGCAAGGACATTCCATGGAGAGCATCCCGTACAACACCAGTCCGAATTCCAGAGTTATGCCTTTCCCCAGACAAATATTGAAACAAACTTCTGACCAGCATGTGTCAAATGTGTCACTACCGCACAGCCAACAACAAGTAATATCACCATCACAATCAATTAATCGCACACGACACAATTCGGCGACAGACAGAAGGTATTCTAACAATAATAAACCTAATATATTCCAACAACACGGAGGATATTTACATCCTTCTCAAAAGAAAAAGGCATACAGCTATGATTCTATGCCGTCACCGCCACAACAACAACAAGGTTAGGAAGAAATCATGTAGTTACAGATAGAGCGATCATTAAATTTTGTTTTTTCTTCAGTTCTAGATTTAACAGAATTGCAGCAACAAAATTCAGCAAATGTCTTGGACAATGAAACTCTTCATTCCTACATGCCTCATCCATTATTTGGTCAACCAAGCACACCGCCAATTAAAGAAAGACATTCTGTACCTCGATCGAAAGGTTTTAGTCACAATACCCGCTCTCTTCAATTAAGTTCAAGTATGCCACAATCGTGGGAAACACATTCATCAAGAAACCATTTGAATCTTTTTCAATCCGCTGAACTTTACCGACGTGGTCAACGAACAATTAGTGGTACAAGTAGTGGAAGCAGTTTGAGTTGTGATATCCACACTGGTCCTCATTCCATTTCTCAAAGCATTTACGCTCAACAGCAAACAGATAATACAACGGATACTAAAGATGAAACCGCATCAGATTATGATTTTGAAAAAGCAAACAATGAATTTCGTCGATATATTGAACTAGAACAGTTGGTTACTCGAAAAATATCTGAGATGGATCCTGAGCAATCGTATAAGAAAGAATTATCGTTTTTCGATCGTATCTCTTGTGCAGCAACGACTGGGACAGCCGTAGGATATGCAGAAATCCCAGAAGATGAGAGAAATTTGGAAACATTTGGTGAAGATGCATTATTAACAACTGCAGGAAGTTTTTGGGAATAATGTACATCGAGCTATTTTCTCACAAAAAAAAGTACAATTCTATTTGTTATGCGACGATCTATTAGTCCACATTTTCTGCAATAGTGAAATCTGAAACGTACCACGATAGGATCAATGCGAACTAGTCTAAAATATTGACTGAAAATTTTCTGCAAACATCAAAATTTGAAAACAATATTCTGTCTCTGCGTATATATCGTATATATACATGCAGAGACATATATAGATTTTGCTACAACTTGTCATTCAAGTTTTGACGTCTCTAAAACATTTTCATTTCATATATTTTCACAGACAGATGGTGGTTGAGCCGACTAGGTATGATGTATATACGGAACAACTGACGATTTGTGAAACAGGACTTGATGAAATTAGAAAGTGAGACAATTTGACAATTGTTAAAAGTCACTTTCTAAGAACAACTGACTTTTTCGCATATCTTTGTTCAAGCCGATGCTATTACAGCCATGTGTTGTCCTACGCGACAACCCTCAAAACACATTTATTAAAATTTTTTTAACACAAATGGATCAAATAGTTTTTATATTCTAAATAAAGAAAAATATCAATCTCGTCATTGAAAGCAACTTTAATATGAAGAATCAAAGGCGCATGATAGGGACTGTTCTATTGTCTGACTGAAACAGTTTTGTGAATATAACAATTATATTGAATTTTATTCAAGGGAGATCGTGAGGGGGAATTTCAATGAGGGATATCTTCAGTCTTCGTTAGGAAAATTCGTTTGTATATAGTATCAGTCGAATGTTTATCACCAACCTTCCGCAATAAAGCGAAGTGTTTACGCACGAAAATTATGTAATTGAAGAGTACTTAGACTATAACGACTTCCCTATGCAAAATTTTTGATGAGCACTGCTGTCTGTGTTTGTTTTAGTCAAATTCTTTGTAAACTATCTCCACAGACAGCTCAGGTCGACGAAAACTGGCATTTAATTGTCCGTTAACAGCCTGTTAACTGTATGCCAAAAAATAGCCTGTTAATTGTGTAAAAATCGAATGAAAATTGTCATTTAACAGCCATTACAATGACAATTTTTTGACTTTGAAATAACGGTGAAAATAATGCCAGATTATAGGCAATGTCTGAAAAATTGTCATTTTACGGACACCATTAAATGGCATTTTCGTCCATTTATTAGACCGCGTTCACTAATGCCAAATAAATGTGGCCGTTAAATGTCCGTTTTTTCTCCATTTCAAAATGGCAAAAAACTGGTCATAAAATGGCATTTAAAAGCCAACTTATGGTCACCAGGTCATTCACCGTTTTATTCTGCCGTCATGAATAGTACAACTGACTCTGATTTTCCTAAAATAATTTAAAGTGTTTCTCTTCTTCAATTATACGAGTCATAGAAACTTGCCTCGAAGAAGTGATCTATAGTTCTTGACTCGATGCAGGTGATAGTACCTCAGGTTCAGAAGATATTTTTTTTACATTTTCTAACGGTCTAACAATTGATATGTAAATGGCAAAAAAATGTGACCAGTAGGGTTACTGGCAGCAGTTAAATGCCTGTTATTTGACCGTTTTTTGACATTTAAAAAAATGCGAAATAAATGCATTTAAACGTTCCCAGTTATAATGGCAAA